TTTCACAGTTGAGGGAACCAGTGCTCAAAGTGTCAATGACTCTGGACAGGTATCAGATTGCTTTCCATTCTCTGATAATAGATTCCATTTGAAAGAGGATGCAGTGAGAGCCTAAGAGAAGAGCACCCCTCCAGGAAAACCTGGGAGACAGGAAGTAAATAGAGGAGAATAACAACATAACTAGGCATGAAAGTGCTGGGAAACAGGACTTAGCTGAAAAGCTTCAGTGTTTTGAAACAACGAGTCATTGGCTTACAGCAACACTAAGGAGGTAATTAGGCTGGGAAATTAAGCATGGGTTTATTAAGGGACTTCCCTGACAGTCCAGTGGTTGAGAGCTTGCCTTCCAATTCAGGGGGTACAAGTTTAATCCCTGGTCTGGAAACTATGATCCCACATGCCTTGGGGCCAAAACACCAAAACATAAAGATGGAAGCAATACTGTAACAAACCCAATAAAGACTTAAAAAAGGAATTGGTTTCTTAAAAAGCGTGCAAGTTAAATGAGGCAGTTATTAACGGAAGAGAAAAATACAAATATGTTACATTTATCTCTAATGAACAGTAAATACCAAGTTATGCTGATATCTAACATGATTTTCTATAAAATCATGATATAATTGTATTGGCTAGGAAGAGAGGGGGGAATGAGCATCTGTAATTGGGCTGTATCCACCCACACATCATTTAGAAATATGAAAATAAATACAACAGCATAACCAAGAGCAATCATACAGCTGAAAGTGTTCAAAGTGATGGCTCTGCAAAGTGGAAACGGTGACCACATGGCAGGGTGTAGGTGTTTTTTAAGGACCCTTCAGAAATAGTTCATGCATCAATAAAATATGTCTTTAACTGAAGATGATCATGTTTTATTTCTTTATTTTGATTATTTCGGAGGTGACTTGCAAATTTATTCTGAGATCCCTTTTAGAAAGTATTTTCATCATTCATTTTTAAGAAAAAGATCATCGACAACAAAAGTCAATCAGTTCTCTTTAACCTTGGCTGTTGAGTTCTAGCTCTTGCTGCCTCCCAGCACTGTGTGAACTTGGGCGAGTCCTCTTGTCTCACCTCCCTGAATGTTAGCGTCCTCATTCGTTAGAGTTACTGTGACGGTTAAATACAGTGAGGCCCGTAAAGCGCTAGGATGATGTCAGCCACTCTGCTCCCTATCCCTCCCTTCCAGTTTCCTGTAACTTAAATCACCTAGGCACAGAAACAGCTTTTAAGTCCATGTCCGTAAGTACAAAGAGCTTTTATGTGACTTTGTAGTATCATTAGCCATGTTTTCATTGCTTTTATATTTAGAGCATCCGTTTTATTATCTGTCTTATTGCAATCTCCCCCAGTACCTTCTAGCTGTGTGGCCCTAGCTTCTTCATTCCTTTTGATAGTTTCTCCTTCCAGAAGCACTTTCCCGGGGGCTCTTGTCATTCTACAGCTTCACGCCAGATGGCCACACCTATTTTCATGGTGTTAACAACCACACAGTGGCAACTTCCACATTTGTATTTCCAGCACAGACCACTCATCTGACTTCCAGACATGTACATCCATCCAACTGCCTGTCTGATATCTCCTTTGGGATGAATTCAGGCATATCTCAAACTCAACCTGTCTAAAACCAAACTCCTAACCTACTTCCCCTAAATGCTTTCTTCCACCCTTTCCTAATTTCAGGAACAGTACTTTAACCATCCAGTTAGCACATCCAGAAACTTCCAGTTCCTCGACACCTCACACTTTAGAAATTATATCCTGGCCAAACCCAAGATCCTGTCCATCAACATAGGCTGTTGATTTTACACCCACTCTCAAATCCCTCTCCTCTTGTCCTCCACCATTACTATCTAGACCATGCCACTCCACACTTACACCATTGCAACTTCCTATTTTATACATATCACTTCTTGCACCATAGCATCCATTTTCCATAGAATATTAAAAAATTGTTGGCCTTTTGTCACTATTCCTTCCTCTGGTATAAGGACATGTTTTGTTGAATAAATGAATATTTATCTCAGTCTACTTAAGTACTTTTGAATCATATGTATATACTAAATCCAATAATGTTTATAAACTATAAAGCAAGCCTTAAAATCTTTCATAATGTTGACTGTAATACTTTAGAAGTAAATTCCAAGTGTGGAAAGCTCTTCCACCTCTTGAGGGGAAAAAAATCAGATTCACCTATATGAGAAAATAGAAAAATAAGTTTCAGTAGGAGAGAGACAACATTTTGACCCTTGCATTGCTATTTGTAGCAGTGTTTCTGGGTTGTTTTGGCAGGGGGTGGTTTTGGTGGGTTTTCTTGGCTTACTGGGTTTCTGAAGTAGCTATTTAAGGCATTTGATGTCAAGGCAAAAATAAGTTATCTTCTGTGGCTAAAGAGAGAACACATTCATTAGTTTAACTCTGGAGAGGATTAGAATTCAACCATATGTGATGAACTGGCCGATGACCAAAACAGGGACTTCCTTGGTGGCTCAGTGGTAAAGAATCTGCTTGCCAATACAGGAGTCATGGATTCGATTCCTGGTTCTGGAAGATTCCACATGCCGAGGAGCAACGAGGCTTGTGTACCACAACCTCTGAGCCTGGTACTCTTGGGCCTGGGAGCCACAGCTGCGGACGCCTGTGTGCGCCGGAGCCCGTGCTCCACAACAAGAGCAGCTACGGCAATGGGAAGCCCCACGCTGCAGCTAGAGGGTGGTTCCCACTCTCGGCAACTGCAGAAAAGCCCGTGCCTCAGCGATGCCCCAGCACAGCCAAGAAGCACAGTGAATAGAACAGTTAAAAAGGACATACAGCATCCGGAACAGTGGGACATGTTCATATAAGATGAGAGAAAGAGGAACTGGGAGTGGCAGGGGTCAGGGTCTAGGCACCCAGCCACGTGAGAGGAGGGAGGAAGAACCTGGGTCCAGCTGGACTACGGGAGACCGCAAGGCTCCGCTTGGTGGACGGGCAGAGTCCGGAGGGCCCACTGGAAAGCTGGGTTTATGGGAACCGTGAAACAATTATTCCATTGTGCTCCATCTGAGCAGACCTGGAATATTCTACTTTTCCAGAGAAGCAGGATGTGGGAAATGTGTGTGGGAGTTGGAAGGAAATCCACAAACATGAATAAATGCTGAGAACATTAAATCTGTATGGATTATTTCCACATGAAAATCCCGAGGTTTACAGAAAGGGAAGTGAACTCTTTTGGAGCTCTATCTTCCCATTTTCAGAAGGAGCCTCTTCTAAAATCACTTGCAGTGAATCCGTAAGGAAGCATTCGTTCAGAGTCCTAGTCTGGTAGACTGTCTGGGTTGCGCTGAGCACCTCACTGGAGGGAGTGAATTGCCAGAGCTCTGTACTGTGGAAGAGCTGATGGAATACGTGAAGCCATTGTTCGGCATGACGTCTATCTGTATACGGGGGTTCAGCTGTAATGAATGAATCGAGCGTGGGTTGGTGATTGTTCATTGTGCTAGTACCATTCAAACGACATGACTGAGAAATGTAGTATTTGGGGTTATTCTGTGGATCCGGAGCATCTGAGAAAATATATGAGTCATGGGGGAGAAAAATGTTGACCCAAATCTGACTTTTAATGATGTCTCTTTTTTAATGTCAGTATATTATACTGACTAGGATTCTCTAGAAGATGGAAAAGCTTTGACTTCCTTAGTCTGGCTACACAGGGACCTTTTGGGCAAAGATATGGAATAAGTTTGAAAAGGATAAGAGAGCAACATCTGTAACGGGAAGGTGGTCATTCCAAGAAGTGAGTTTCCTCATTTTCCTTTATTTTTAATATCTATCTTGAGAATATTTTTTCAGTTTTTATACTATAACAAAAGAGAATGACTCCCTCCTCCAGATTATACAGCCATTTCTATGTCTTTTTTCATATTAAATTGCTGACAACACAATCCAGCCAGCCCACCATTTGCAGAACACTGTGTTGTGTGGCTGATGTTATAATTAGGACACTGAGAAATTTGTGCTCTAATGAAAGGCTATGCTGTGATGCAGGGTATGTGGGGAAGGGGACAGAAAGCAGGAGGCGGTGACCCATCCGTGGGACCCAGATGACATCCTGTGCCTTTTGAAACCTTTGTTTAGCAAAATAATTTTAATTAGCAAAAGTACTATTGTAATAGCTTTGCTTACAAAACATGTAGTCTCAGCCCTCGAATAGTGTATAGCTATGAAATCAGATGTTGATTTATTTCTCAGATGTTGGTGAAGGTCTAAGTTCATAAAGGATCTCAACAGTGCCTTCTAGTTTGTTTGCCTCTAATCACCTTTTGCATTTTATGTTGCATCACACTTTGCAGAGGCTCTGTGATGCTCTTTTAGACCTCTTGTAGGGAGGAGTCTTACTGGAAATCTAGTTAGTGTTTATGTCCTAAAACTGCCGCTGCGTATGGAATGATTCAGTATCATTCGTCCTGAAGTATGAATGGTGTATCCATTGACTTACAGCTTTTAAATGTCTTCAGTTCAAATCATGTTAGTTACAGGCAACCTTCCAGGTCTTGTTGCTTATTGACTTATTATTGGGAGGGGTAACTGGGCTGCCGCACTGCCATCCCACTGTTCTCCAAGACCAGGTCAGCTGGGAGATCGAGTATCATAGTCCTCTCAGTTCCCAAAACTGTATTCTGGGTCAACAAGGGCAGTCTACCAGATGACAGACGCTCCTCAGGATGTAGGTATCAGCATCAGTATAAAGAATTTTTATAGAAGCATAGAAGCACTGTTTGTATTCATCAGGGTTCCCTTGATCACAATTCAAATGAACTTAAACAAAAAAAATTATTAGCTCACTTAACAAAAAAGTCCAGGAATGATGCCTTCAGGAGGCCCGAGTGTACCCAGAGTTTCGAATCTCCTCTTTGAAGAAGAGGGGACGGCAGACAGAATAGTTTGTCTTCCCCTCCATGTCATGTTTCTGTTTGTCTCTTCTTATCTCTGCATGATAGTCTCTCTACTTTTTGTTACAGTTTCTTCCATGTGACCAGAGAAGATGGCCACTTGCAAACACAGCGCCGCACTATCCTAGTTTGAGAGCCAGTAGAAAGAAAGCAACATTTTTCTCTATAGGTGTGTGTCATCCCAGGCAAGACTTTCCTTGGTCCTGTTCGCAAAATAGGCTGATGTTTATACACGGTGTGCCCAGGGGGATGGAGTACTGCTACTGACCATTACTACAGCATAACTGATATCCCATCAGAAGTGGATAGAGTGCAGGAAGTATTTTCCAAGGAATCAGAGGACAAGAGGAGATAAGTATGCTAAATGATGGAAATGATAGATGCTGTAGTTTTTTGCATGAGTTGTCTCTCATTAGAGCTCTTCTGAGACTAGATATCAAGGTAGCTTGCAAGCTCTCTGACAACAATATCCTAGCATGATTTGATCAGTAGAATGGTTAATTTGAAATGTCAACGTGACTGGGCCATAGAGTGCACAGATGTTGGCCTAAGCACGTTCACTTAATGAAGGCAGATTGCCCTTCCTAGTGTCACTGGGCCTCATCCAACCTGCTGAATGCTGGGGTGGAACAAAAAGCAGAATGAGGAAAGATTCACTGTCTGCTTGACTTGTCTTTCAACCGGGACATGTACTTCAGCCTTCAGTGCTTCTGGGTTCATTGGATCTCCTAGGTCTTCAGACTGCCAACTGCAGATCTTGGGACTCCTTAGACTCCATAATCCCATGAGCACCACCCTACCTATGTATATGTGTAGTGTATATATAGGCTTCCCAGTTGGCACTAGTGGCAAAAAACCTGCCTACCAATACGAGAGACAGAAGAGATGCAGGTTCAATCCCTGGGTGGGGAAGATCCCATGGAGGAGGGCACAGCACCCCACTCCAGTATTCTTGCCTGGAGAGTCCCATGGACAGAAGAGCCCGGCGGGCTACAGTCCACAGAGTCACAGAGAGTCAGACACAACTAAAGCGACTTAGTATATGTATAATTATCACTTGTATTTTTTGGAGATCCTCAGCTAATACAATTAGGGATATGTATGTGGCAAAGGGGAGAAGGAATATCTGGACTACGAAATCAAGTTTTATGTGTTATGGTTTAGCTTCAATTTGGGGGGACATTTTTCCGCATCTTCAGATTCCAGAAGATAAACTGTAGTCCTTTGTAGGGTGACTTTTAAAAATTAAGTGAGAGATTTTTATTTTGCACTTATGCTTCCAAATGCAATTTTAGATATTATCACCAGCAAAACAAGAATAAACTCTACTGAATAGCATGAAATGTTAAAAAATTTTCATATCTCCTATATGATGTGATCCAATTGAAATTCACATTGCTTTTCCTACAAACCTAAGAAAAACCGCAGAGGACAAATCCAATGCATTAATATTCCATGAATACTGGGGATAGGTAAATCTAGCAATTTCCTTTGAACTGTGTGCTAGGATTAGAATAATATCATGTAGAAAAGACAGTTCTGGTTTAAACTTACAACCCATGAAAATGATTAAATTGTAAACTTGGCAAATACATTTTCCAATTTCTAAAAGATGTTTAAAAATGAATTCAGAAGGGCATCAGTGGAAAAATAGAAACACTCTTATTTTGTGACAAAATAGGAAATAAATGACACTTCTAAAATGGTGCAGGGCCATATAACCAATACCGCTTTCATGACTTTTATTAACATGCCCCTCCCGAATGTGTCAAGTTTGATCTGAGGATCGGATTTGGTATCCCTTGTATAATTATATGGGAACAGGTGGAGTTGACTGATTTAATTTTTCCACATGGGCTGACTTGTTGTTTTTTTGTTTGTTTGTTTGTTTTGGTTCTCCCTAATGAGAAAAGAAAAATAAAACATACTTTTTGGAACTGTGGTTACAAAATTAACCATATACCAGAAAACAGGGTGTTAGATTTCCTGTTGTACTTTTTAGAACATAGATGTACAATATTAAGATGCTTTGTTCTTCAGGTTAATTGCAGTGTATATCCATGTACATGGTATTGCAGTTCTAATTAATTGATAGAGTACTAGGTAGAATAGTTCTTATACTAATTTCAGGCATCAACCAAAATTGAAGAGAAAAACCAGCAAACCTTGAACTTCCCGAGTGATTATGGAAATGGTCTCTGAGAAATAAATCTCAGATCAAGTGATTAAGCCAATGCAATCCATAAATTGGGGGACTATCTAAATAGTTCAAGCTGGCTTACCTTTAATTATATAAATGGAATTTAGGGACTGATTTTCTCAAATCAAACTTTCACTCTAATCTTATTACTTTTTAGTTTTTATTTTTGGTTGCACTAGGTCTTCGTTGCTGCACACAGGCTTTCTCTGGTTGCGGCGGGCAGGGTCTCCTCTCTAGTTGCAGGGGGCAGGAACTCCTCTCTAGTTGCAGGGGGCAGGGTCTCCTCTCTAGTTGCAGGGGGCAGGGACTCCTCTCTGGTTGCAGGGAGCAGGGACTCCTGTCTAGTTGCGGCGGGCAGGGTCTCCTCTCTAGTTGCAGTGTGCTGGCTTCTCACTGTGGTGGCTTCTCTTGTCGCGGAGCAGGAGCTCTAGGTGTGTAGGCTTCAGTAGTTGTGGCGCTCTGGCTTAGCTGCCCCCATGGCATGTGGGATCTTCCCGGACCAGGGATTGAACCCGTGTTCCCTGCTTTGACAGGGGGATCCTTGACCACCGAACGAGCAGGGACATCCTGCACTCAAATCATTACTGCCTGAAGTCATCCAGTTGAATCCACTTCCCCTTGTTCCATACAGACCCGACAGAAGTGGGACTCTGGAGGGCACCTATTTTAATTCAGTGTTTCAGATCCCATAACAATGGTCTTATCAGTGAAACAAGATGAAAGAAAAGCGTTTTATAAATTCAATCCAGTCTCCTGGACTGCTGAATTGCCTGAATCTGATCTCTTGAAAAAGGCCCTCCCCTTTTCCCTGTCGGGAAAATAATAGAGATGACAAAAAGGGCAGGGGACATGAAAAGGGAAAGTTCCGAGGTACCATCTGGGATGGAAGCTTCCTGAGGGATCCTGTGACTAGAAAAGTGAGTGTGGCATTCCATGGCCAAGATCCACATGCACAGCCACACGCACAAACCATAGCTGGTCTTCATTCAGGTGATGGAGGTTTTGAGCAAATTCGTGAACACAATTAGGCCAGGAGCTCTGGGTTTTTGAAACTGTAGTCCACCCCTCTTCCCACTCTCAGCCCTCACCAAATTTCATGTTAAGCAAAGATTAAATGATATCATTGGATCAACATGATAGAATCAGCTTTTTTTTTTAAATACATATAAGAGAATCAACTTTTTGTTTCGACTTTTTGGAGCATCAGTTTTATAAGAACTTCAAGAGGACAGTTTAATAAGTAAATAATATAAAATATAATGTGTTGCCTGAATTTTTAAAGTCAAACCTGAGGTGGGCGGAGACAGTCTCTGTCTGAGGTGTGTCATTGCTGGCCACCTCCACACCCTCTGAGGTGCGTGTGACCTCTCTGGCCATAAGGAGTGTATTGATGGATAAATTGAGAAGCACTGGAATAAACCAAAGGATGCCTCTAGTTCTACCCTCAAAGAGAATTTTATGCTTTTGTCTCTAAATCTCATAGAAGAGTGCTATATTCTACATTTGAAGGAGCCCTGGAAACCTATACTTCCATACTCTTCCTTTTAAAAAAGTCCAGATCATGCCTTATCTTTCTGGCCGATTTCAAGTACTCTTATTAAAGTTCTGTCACATCTATTCTAAGATATGAGAAAATCTAAATAACTTTGAACAACAACTTGACACTATTCTTCAGTAGTTTTGTTTTAAAATAATTTCAGATTTACCTAGGAATTGCAAAAATAGAACAGTTCCCATATACTCTTGGAGAAGGAAAGGGCAAACCACTCTAGTGTCCTTGTCTGGAGAATCCCATGGACAGAGGATCCTGGTGGGCTGCAGTCCATGGAGTCGCAAAAAGTCAGGCATGACTAAGCGACTAACACATGTACTGTATCATCTAGTTTCCCCTAATGCCAACATTTTACATAATCATGGTACATTTATCAAAACTAAGAAATTAACATTGGTACAATACTCTTGAACTATAGACTTCATTCAGATTTCCCTAGTTATTTCACTAATGACCTTTTTCTATTCCGGGATCCACTTGCATTTAAGTGCTATGAATTTTTGCTTTTCCCTCTTTGTCTTTAAATAACACAACATTACTATTAAAAGCTTTGATCTTTCACAATTATCAACAGCTATTAATAACTTCCCATCATTTAAAAAAAGTAGTATTAAATTGTTGCATTAGGCTAAACTGTTTGAAATCAATAAGAAATTTATCATGAAAAATTTTAAACTTGCACATCTCAGGAAGATTGGTTAAAAAACAAACTGCAACCTTTTCAAAACAGCATAAAATCTCTCTACATCTAGAAAAATCCTTTTCATCTAGGAAATGATTTTCTGATCAGTTCAATTTGATGTACTACAGAAAAGTTCTGAATTTTTCAGCCCACAGTTCAAACTAGTCCTTATGAAACAAATAGATTTTGAGGTGCTTTGGAGGCAAGGACCTGTTCCTAGCCATTTCTGTATCCATAACATTGCCTTAAATGTTATAAATATTTGTTGAATTAATGAACACATGAAATTTCCTAGGATATTCAGGCTGGAGAGAATTTGAAAACCTGTCAGGTTAATTAGACTCCAGAGCCTTCACCTCTGACTGCCTTTGGGATGTTTTGGTGTAGATAGTGTCAAAGAGGTGATGCTTTGTAGACAGCTTCATGGAAATGTCATGAACCCTTGTAGAATACTTACTGCCAGAAACATGCCAAGTTTTAAACATGTTTCTTTTTTTCTGAAAGAACAAGAGCCCTTATCTTCTTATGAATGTGCAATCAGAATATTATAGAGAAGTCAAAATATTGTGTGAAGCAATGGGTCATATCCTGCTTAGTTGTAAGTAGTTTCCTAGTAATGAAGGTATCATTCAAAATGCAGTCATTCCAGACATAATGCCATTTGTAGCAACAAGGATGCCTAGAGATCATGACACTGAGTGAAGTGAGTCAGACAGAAATATTGTGTGACATCCTTTATATGTAGAATCTAAGAAGAAGTGAGAAAAATGAACTTACAAAGCAGAAAGAAACTCAGAGACCTAGAGAATGGGAGTAAGGATTGAGGGGAAGGGATAGCTTGGGAGTTTGAAATGGACATGTACACACTGCTATGTTTAAAATAGGTAA